AACCTTAGACCTAACCGGTGTCACGTTTTCCCCTAATCGTCCAACCCTCTGTGTGAAGAGTGTATTTCCAGTCCTTTCCCCACAATGACAACCCAAGCGAGTTTTAAGTAAACAGGAAAAGCCAAAGGACAAGTGTGGACGCCACGGAGTGAAGACTGCGCGGGGTAACAAGGGACTGACTGGCTAGGGCTGAAGCAGTCCTCCAGCTAGCTGGCTTCGACCAGTCGGAATAAAGAAGTCAGTAACTTGGGGGAAAACGCAACTGGAAGATGCGTGACTGTCGGGGCAGGGGTGCCTTATCCACTCCTTGGCTCCCATTCGCTGTGGGAACGGATGGGACTTTGATTGCCCAGAAGAGCCCGTCGCCCTTTCTAACATTTCTCATTTGAATACATGAAAATGTGAGTTGGTTTTGGCAAGGCGAAGCTCGCTCACGGCCAGAGACGGTTTTGTCGCCCGCGGGAGAAGCCAGGTGGGGAGCAGCTCCGGCTCTGACATCCGGCTGTTGGCGAGCCAGGTCCACGAACTCTGGGACGGTTCTGAAACCCATGGGCGACTCCGACAGAGATCAGTAGGAGAAGGGACAAACCTAATGGCTGATGTTTGTTTGTTTACAATAGAATAACAGAAAGCCCTAGTGTTGAGCATTGGAGACCCACACGGGTGCACACACCACCTGGCCAGGGATGCAGCCGAGAACAGCAAAAGGACTCCGCACAGAAGTGGCCCCACGACGTCCTTCAGGTGGTTGTAGGGGGCCTACCTACTGGGAGTGGGACGTCTTCTAAGTGGGGAGTTAATTCCTTAATTAATGATTTAGTGTCAGAAGGAAGAGAGGAGCGAAAGTATGAGGAAAGAAAAGGCAAAGAAGGGAGAGGCGGTCAAAGAAAAGGAGCTCGCATGCTGGCCCTGCGCCTCTGGCTGGTCAGGGCGAGAGTGGGCCCCTCAGAGCCGACCGCAGCGCCCCCCGAGGTCGTGGGCGGGACGCTTAAGACAGGCGCTCCGGAGGCACTCGGGTCCCTTCTCCAGGCACACTACAAATCGCCAGGGCAAGCAGAGGCTTTCTGCGTTCCGGCCTTCCTCATTCCTCAGCTGAGCCAGGTCCCAGTTGGGGTCGGCTTTGAACAGAGTTAAAGACCACAGGTCTTTCACTGAGTCCGATTCTCTCTCTTGCAGGAGGAAGACTTAAGCTTCTTATCTGGGTAGGAGGTGGGGGACCGAGGATAAATTCGGACCACCCCGCACCAAGCGTGGCTGGGCCCACGGAGGTCTTGACCTGATCACAGCAGCAACGAGAGTCGTCGGGGAAAGGAGGCAGACTAGGAAAAGCCATAGAGGGAAGCCCTGGAGAGAATCCAGGGGCATCGCATCGCAGAGGCCAGCCACCCCAGACCCTGCTTTCGTGCCCACCCTTCGATCGTTAAATAGGTAGGGCCCAGGCTTGGGGAGGCCACCAGCTGGGTCCACGACCGGAGCCTTGGCTTGGAGACATCTTTAGTCTTTAGTCGTCATACTCTCTGCTTCTCCCTGCCTGGTCAATATCTGCGGGGAGGATGAGCGGAGGCACACGGGTTCAGTCAAGGGACCTCCTACGGAGGGTCTGTGCAGGGAGGGAGCAGGCCCCAAACGCGTGGCAGGAGCAGCTTCCGGGAAAGGCGGAGCCGCTTTCTGGATCCACGGCTGCCTTATGTACTAGGGCACCCCAAGGTCCTGACTGCCCCAGCGTCCTCCACTTGAAGAGCCCGCTCTCCCCGCTACCTCGGCTGCCCCCGGCTGCGGAAGACCAGTCCTCACCCCTGCGAGTTTGGCTCGGGACTTCTCAGGAACTGCCACGTGGCTGCTCTAGTGATTTCCCTGCCCTGAGTCCACTCAGCCTCCTAGAGCTGAAGACGGGTTTAACTCCCCTAAGAAAGCAGCAGTCTTTGCAAAGCAGTTGTGCAACACTGTAAGGACCTAATTGGGGAAAGTGGTTGGAAACAAGCAGGGTTAGGCAGCTGGACTCTTTACCTGGCTGCCAACTGGCCATCAACCCTGAGAGACAGCAGCATTAGTGTGTGTGTGTGTGTGTGTGTGTGTGTGTGTGTGTGTGTGTGTGTGTTTCCTAGTCAAGGACACTGCGTGGCCCTGCTGATTCTCTTTTAACCCTCAGGGAAACTGACTGGGTAGCATGTGGAGTACATTAGAACTTCACCTTCTAAATTTGTTAGGTGTCTACGAATGCTGCCGCAGACCAAAATCCCTGCCTGAAAGACACGTGCGAGGTTCAACTCAGTCTCTCCAGGGGTTATCGCTGTGGGCACCTGCTGGAAAATCTAGCACTCGGTCTGTAAGACAGGAGGCGCTGTGTTCCGGGGAATCCCTTGGTCTGCGGACCTGGGAACCTCGGAGCTGGACCAAAGCTCTAAAGCTGACAGAGTCCATCCTGCACCATCAGTCTTAGGCTTTGAAGAAGCTTGGGAGAAACTTTACTTTGGCCATAACATTATGAACAGAAGATATTATTATTATACATGGATGAAAAAAAACTACAGTTTAGGAAAATAAGCCAAATGAACATTTGACATTTTAAAATTAATTCCTGTTACAGTGACTACGTTTTTTTCTCTTAAAGTGCAGTGGTTTTGTGCACTGTAAAAGCTATCACTAAGCTATTACTAAGTTGTAACCACCCATAAAGAAAATACTGTAGTCAAGCTTGATGTTGTAGAAGAGCCAAGAGGGCGTTGAGAGTCACACGCTGGAAGGAACAAGGAAGCTCATTAACACTGAAAGTCTCCATCAGACTGAGGGAGCTAAGCATCAGTGTACTTTACAATTGGAACTGAGGTCCTGCTGCTGATGGGAACTTTGCACCAAAGAATTAGCTTCAGACACACACTTGCAGGTACATTTACATAAACTCAAGGGTCCACCTCGGTAGACTGCATTGGGGTGGGTTCTTGGTCTGCTGAGTTCCAGGTAGATTTAATTTCATTCTCATTCCTTCCCTCACAAATGATGCCCCCCCCCCCGTCTGTTCAAAAAGGAATTGTAATCCAATGCTTTTATCTTTTTTATTTCCTTAACTGTACATCTTCACCCACTCTGCTCCCCTGCTGATTTAAGAGATTTGTTTGGTTCAAGGACTTAACGTGATTCTCTTGCCAGATTTCAAGGAAGAAAGATTTAAGAGAACAAAGAACGGGGTGGGGGGTGTGATAAGATATCTATTTGGAAGGCAAGTTAAAACACATTTCTTAAAATGAGATTAATTACATTTTTTAACTTTGCAAAACAAGAATTTTGCAGTCTTAGTTAAGATTTTATTTTATTGCAATTTAAGGAAACCTGGTGGTTCTGCAGGCAGGTACAACATATACATGGTCACTCACACACTCCATCACTCATACTCAGAACACATATACACTCTACTCAGAAACACTCGTGCACCATCTCCCAACCTATCACCAATTTAGTGCCTATCATCCAGTCTCTTTGGATGGTCTTTCTCCACGACTTGTGAGCAATCCACTACAAAGAGCTTCGAGAGAGTCAAAAGGCTTTCCGTGGGGGAGAATTTCCCATAGAAGCCCAGGACCCAGCCCAGGAACCAAGCGAGAGCTTCAAACGCTAGTCCCACACCTCCAGGTCAGAGACACAGTCTTTATGGGCTGCCTCTGGCTTTGGCCTGGCACCTCTTCAGCAGCGCAGATGCGTCCCCGCGTACGAGTCCTAGCTTTCCCAGCTAACGCTCGTGTTTAGGGAGATGTCCCCTCCCCTTGACCTTTCCCTATCAGAAACCAGACGGTACCTTCCAGCTCAGTCCCCTAGGCTGCCGAAGGGGGGTGGGAGGAGGAGCTCGATTGAGGGAGGACAGCCAACTTGGATCCGCCTGCTCTACCACACAGACATCTGCTCTCAGTTTCTTCCTCTTTATGTTCACTACAGATGACAAGGGGAGTGGAGAGGACTGAGGCGGAAAAAAAAAGTTATGTCATAAAGATATAAAACGGTGCTGTGACTCACCTGCTCTTAGCCGCAGGTACGAGTTTCGTGGCTGCGCCTCCGCTCTGCTAGCCAGGAGCCCGGGTCAACCTAACGTCACTTGGCTCGGCTGACTCAGATGGCTGGGTTTCTAGTGACGAGGCTTTTTCCCTTTTCTAGTCTGAAGCCCAGGTGAGGGGAAAAATAAAATAAAATAAAGTCTGTATTCACCAGTCTCGCGGGGTTGAACTTTGGGTCTGGAATCATGAGGGTAGAGGCAAGGAACAGGTAAAAGGGCATGAGGAGCTCCGGACGCAGTCGCAGTTCAGGTACAGAGGGTGGTGAGTGCCTCTAGGGAGGAACCCCTTGGTCACCTCGCGCACAAGGTCCCAGAGCCTGGGCTCCGACGCCACCGCCCCAGCCCTTCTCCAGCTACCGGGTTCCCATCTAGAATCTTGGCCTGCCCTTCATGGTCCCGCCTATTTTTCTTTTTCCCTTTTCCAAAGGGGGTTACATACACTCCCCCGCCCCATTTCACTCTTTCCCTGGCCTCGGGGCTTAAACCAATTACACTGCTTTGCAAACAAAGTGAGGGCCAGGTTTGGGGGGAGGGGACTCAGTGG